AAGAATCACACAACCACACAGGTCGAGAGGGGAGGGGAACTCATCAACCCCAGGCCTGCCGGCAAAGCCAGGTATTAGAGATCTAGATGTTCCTTTGCAAAACCTTCGTGAAGTTGCCAGTGATGATGTTTTCCTGCTTATTCTGAAAACCTTATTTTTTTCATATTCTTGAAAGGAATGAAGGATTGGATACATCAAGAAGAGAGTTATGTTTGTAATGTGCTTTGCATTCCACAAATACGCATAGCATTCTTGGTGGCTACTAGGCATCTTCCCTTTAGCCCATAAAAAGATGGTTAAAACGTGTAAAGAAAGGCATCTTTACATGTTTGAGATTAATCCCATATTTAGTTGGTCAAATCTGTAACTATTTCAAGCGGGATTCTTCTATTTCGTAGTGTATTTTCTTTGTAGCCAGTGGTGGGTTTCAATTTATTTTACTACCGGTTTGCACGCACTCGCGCCACGCTTCTGTGTCTGGTGGGTAGGTGGAGCCTCCTACCACCGCCACTACTGGTTTACCCGGAAAACCGACAGAAACCCACCCCTCTCTATTATGAAAATTTGCAGGATTTCTTTGTAGCTTGAATTCTTCTTTTTTTGGATATACGTTTCTAATAAATTAGAACGTGCATTATCCAGTTGATAAACAATTGATACCTCCCAGTTTTCAGACTTTAATTTAGCGGTCTCCAACCTTTCCAGCTTGGCAAACCAGCAGAGGTGGCAACAGCGGCGGGAATAAGGGATGGTTTCCTGTGTGCGGACCACTTTCACAAATGCAGCTTCATGCACATGTGCATGCTTATCCACCACTTCCGCAGCCTGGTTCCAAAATGGCAGGCCAGGGGTTGGGGACTGCTGCTTTTATTGGCATTGCATAGATTTGCAAGGGGTGTTGAAATCCCTTAACTATGGCTGCAAGCCTTTGAGGCCAGCTTTCGAGCACTTTTCAGACTGTCATCTTTTAAGACGATAAAACTTCTCATAAAATTCCTTGTAATTGGGGGCATAAGTATGAGAAGATGGTCTACTATATATGTGTAAACTTATCTCCTACATACGTACTAACAACCAGTGACGTGCGGTGAGGTTTATGGCTGGTGAGGCAAAAAGAAAGAAAGCGGTTTTTGCCCGTCCCGCCACTATGTCCGACATAGAGGCGTCCCGCTCTCCAAATGGCTTGCCTTTACATTAGCTCTTGTCTGCCATGATGAAAATGCAAAAATGTAAAAGGAAAAAGGCTGAGCTAGTTGCTGCCAGAGTCACAGTGGACGACTCTGCTTAGTGCTTAACTGTTTAAAAAAGCCTCTTAAAAAAGCGCCCTCTACAGGAGGAGGCGGGAGAATCTCGTGCCTCATTTAGTCTGCCTTTATGATCACTCGAGCAGAGTTAAGCAAGGGTTAAAAGGCAAAAAAATCCCTTATGTAGATGAGGCACGTGGTTCTCTCGCCTCCTCCTGTAGAGGGCGCTTTTTTAGAGGCTTTTTTAAACAGTTAAGCACTAAGCAGAGTCCTCCACTGTGACTCTGGCAGCAACTAGCTCAGCCTTTTTCCTTTTACATTTTTGCATTTTCATCATGGCAGACAAGAGCTAATGTAAAGGCAAGCCATTTGGAGAGCGGGACGCCTCTATGTCGGACATAGTGGCGGGGCGGGGAAAAACCCCTTTCTTTTTTTTTTCCTCACCACCCAT